AAAATATTGAGTTATTAAGGATTTTATACTGGCGAATTTTTAGTTAAGTTTTGTGTAAGTGATTGACGGAAAGAGTTGTAAATTTTAATTTTCTATTAATTTTTTATTTACACTTATTACTTATTTTAAAGTATTACAGTTTCTAGCCTACATAATTTTGCATATCACAGATTCCGCTGGAAGCTCGATTCATATGATGATTTGAATCAACTTGATGAATTTGAAAGAATTGTTAATGAAATGATCAAAAACCGTCAAAAATCTATTTTGGAATTATCAATTTAAGATCAAAAACAAAAGATATTTGACAAATGGATAGAAGTTAAGGTTAAAAAAAAAATTATTTTAAATAAAATACTATAGTTATCTAAAAAAAATTGGACCTATTGTTATGATTAATTTGTTGAAAAAGTGGGCTGTCAGTGAAATAGATTGTCAGTATAATGACTGTTGGCGAAACAGATGTCAGTGAAATAGTTATCGCGAAACTGGTTCATACCAATAAAAATAGTAAACTTTATTATTTCCAATTTTTGGATCTTTACAATATGTTACAAGAGATCTTATAGGCTGTAACTATAAGATTTTGCATTATCATCATTAATCAATTTTAAATTTATTTTTTTATTTTAGAAAACTTGTGATCTTTTTCAATTAATATATTTGCCCAGCTATAAGATAGAATTTATCAAAAAGACATTTTTGATCCTTTTTATTGCATGATGATTGATCTTGTCAAAGATCATGAATTATGGAGTTATATACTTAGTACAAATTTGCCTCAAATTAAAGCAAAATCTGAAGAGCAATTTAAGTTTATAACACCTGAAGACATAGTCAAAATTAATCGTACAGCAAAGGATGCCTTCGATAATTTTAATCCTCAAGATATTTCTTTTGAAAGTTCATTAGATCTGGACACTTCAATTGAATATTTACTACCACACATTGATATGTCTCTGAAAGGGAATTATAATAAGAGCACTATAACATCAATTAATGGAATTCTGCAATCGTGGTAGGCATAAGTTATAAAAATATATTTAGCTAAATAATGTTTAATTTTGTAATTTATTATTTTAGGATAATCGCATGGCAAAAAATGAAAGTTACAGTGTAAAGGATTACACACAGCTATTCATTATATCGCCTTTAGAAAGAAATCAAAAAAATTGAGCAACGTTCAGACAAGTTTATTGAGGAGTTTGAAAATTTTTAAAAAATAACATTCTAAATACCCCCTCCTCACCAAAAATGAAAGAGTGAATTGATGCAGATATATCTTAATTAGGGTTAGTTTAGGATAGTGTCACGATTTTTCTTTGGAAAAACCGTGACTAGACATACTATAGGTAGTAATGACGCTGTGTGTTAAGACTAAGCCATAACCACAGGGATATTGTGAGGCTTATTGGTGGCGAAAGCTTAGAGTTTGGATCTGTACAAATAATTATTTTATTCGTCATCTTTGTTTATTCTATATCTGAAGATTCTTACTTGTTTATTAAGGTGTAATGACTAGTGTTGGGCCAAAGCTTAGAAAAAGGTTGGAAGGGGGTAAGGCGGAGTAACTAGAACGTAGAAAAGCTTAGTTAGGAGTTCAAGAAAGGTTAAATTAGTAAAGATAAGCCTGGTAGAAGGTACTGGTCGGGCCCAACAAATAGAAATAAACCCATGAATATGTAAAAGCCTTATTATTATGTATCTCGAAAGTATAAAAAGGGTATCTATTCGCCCTTTCAATAAAGCTTTAGACTTCAATGTCATTAATATAGGAGTTATTAAGAATTGATTTCTCAACTGTTGTTAGTTTAGTGACGTATTTCTTACTTTTATCGTTAAGTGACTTAACGATCGTATTATACATTTACTGTTAAGTACCCTATTACTCTATTACCTTATTACCTTATTACCTAATAAGTATCGACCTAATATCGGTTGTACTGATTAACTATCGATATTACTGATTTATTTAATTACGATTACATAACTTGATTTATTTACTTGATTGATTACCGGTAGATATAATTAAGTGCCCCGATCACGGATTAATTACGTAACCTCACGTGTTTGAGATATTAC